TGCTGTGGTCCACATGACAGGAGTAAGTGTCTCTCCTCCTTGGTTGGCACTTCCACACTGACTCTGATCTGATAGGTGCCATCAGGATGGGGGAGAATTGGAGTCATTGCATCTGAAGGAACATGGTCCACCCCATTCCTCATCCACTTCACATTCACATCTTGGGGGTGAAACCCATACGCCAGGCAGTATAGTCTGGTAACATTATCCGGCTGATGGCGGCCCCACACCTTCACCTCTGGACGCACTGAAAAATAACAAGAATTTCTACACATTGCAATAAAAATGTGTACTGAGTGTTTAAGGCTCAAAAATAAAAGCAGCATTAATATTAAATGCTGTCAGAGAACATAAACTGGCCAGAACATAATTCTGTGTACTTCCCTTTCATGCACTTTGTTATCGGTGGATTGGACAGAGCTATGTGGAGTGAAGGGGAGGAGTCACTGTTCTGACTAACTTGCGTACATCAATTTTCAGCTTGAGCTATTGAGCTCTGTAAACAGCAGGCTTTTTTTTTTTACAACCAAAGGTAAGGTGAAATGGGAAACTATTTGAAAAGGAACTAAGAGCTGCACCTGCTGGATGGATACAAGAATACACATATTTATCTACATAAAAACATAAAAAAGAAAAAAATATGTACAAAAGCATCATACATTCCCTCAAACTCATACTGGTGGTAGTTGTCTATAAAGAAACTCAGTGTCACGTACCTGGTCAAGGCTGAGCTGACGAGAGGGCTGCCCTTACACCTCTTGCCCTGCTTCCCCTGGGAATCATGACAGGGTATAACAGGGCACAGAGTGGTACGGGTGCCTTTAGGAGATCCCATTCTGAATATCTTGGATGCAGATGCAGAGCTGGAGCTGGTCAACTAGTGGTAGGGAAATACTGGATCTTGGATGAGTAGTCAGACGGGCAGAGATCAGCAACAACCGGGCATCAGGAGTGCAAAGTCAGGAACCAGGAGCGGAGTCAGAGCCAGGCAAGGGTCAGCATCAAGCGAGCAGAGGGTGCACCAGAACAGCAGGCAGGAAGCAAGGTTGGGTCACAAGCCAGAGTCAGCAACAGGGGTTCAGGAACAGGCTGGGTCAGGATACAAATGAGCCCAGGATCAGGTCACAAGCAGAAGGAGGTGACAACTACTCAGGAATGAATGTGAGTCCTGTAAGGCTTTAAATAGGCTACTAGGTGCGAAAGTCCATTAAGCAAGCATGCATGCATATGAAAACTAGACAAACAAGAAAAACACCTCTTGCGCTCAAGAACAATTCATTGGCACCATGGAACTGTTGAATGGCCTATGAGTGGGTCAAAGATGACACCGGCTGTGCTGCCCTCTGACAGGTCAGGGGAAGCCAGAGATGCAACTATAAAAACATAAAAAACAGAAGGTGCACCCGCCTAGCGCATTACCTCAATATTACATAGTTACATAGTTAGTCTGGCTCAAAAAAGACAAAAGTCCATCCTGTTCAACCATAGAAAAAAAAAAAAAAGTTATAATCCTACACCCACATTTGATCCAGAGGAAGGCAAAAAAACCCAGCAAAGCATGATCCAGTTTGCTCCTGGGAAAAAAATTCCTTCCTGATCCCCCCAGGGGCAACTGGATATTCCCTGGATCAACTTTACCTATAAATGTTAGTATCCAGTTATATTCTCTGTATCCAAGAAAGAATCCAGGACTTTTTTGAAGCAATCCACTGAGCTGGCCAGAACCAACTCTTGAGGGAGTCTATTCCACATTCTCACAGCTCTCACTGTGAAGAAACCTTTCCATGTTTGGAGATTACATTTCTTTTCCTCCAGACGTAAAGAGTGCCCCCTGTGTCCTCTGTGATGACCTCATGGTGAATAACTCTACACCGAGTTCACTATATGAACCACTGATGTATTTATACACATGGAGATCATATCCCCCCTTATGTATTATACATGGAGATGATCATGTATCCCCCCTTATGTATTATACATGGTGATCATATCCCCCCTTATGTATTATACATGTTGATCATATCCCCCCTTATGTATTATACATGGAGATCATATCCCCCCTTATGTATTATACATGGAGGTCATATCCCCCCTTATGTATTAAACATGGTGATCATATCCTCCCTTATGTATTATACATGGTGATCATATCCCCCCTTATGTATTATACATGGAGATCATATTCCCCCCTTATGTATTATACATGGAGGTCATATCCCCCTTATGTATTATACATGGAGATCATATCCCCCCTTATGTATTATACATGGAGATCATATCCCCCCTTATGTATTATACATGAGATCATATCCCCCCATGTATTATACATGGTGATCATATCCCCCCTTATGTATTATACATGGAGATCATATCCCCCTTATGTATTATACATGGAGATCATTATCCCCCCTTATGTATTATACATGGTGATCATATCCCCCCTTATGTATTATACATGGAAGATCATATCCCCCCTTATGTATTATACATGGTGATCATATCCCCCCTTATGTATTATACATGGAGATCATATCCCCCTTATGTATTATACATGGAGATCATATCCCCCCCTTATGTATTATACATGGAGATCATATCCCCCTTATGTATTATACATGGAGATCATATCCCCCTTATGTATTATACATGGAGATCATATCCCCCCCTTATGTATCCCCCCCTTATGTATTATACATGGAGATCATATCCCCCTTATGTATTATACATGGTGATCATATCCCCCCTTATGTATTATACATGGAGATCATATCCCCCCTTATGTATTATACATGGAGATCATATCCCCCTTATGTATTATACATGGAGATCATATCCCCCCTTATGTATTATACATGGTGATCATATCCCCCCTTATGTATTATACATGGTGATCATATCCCCCCTTATGTATTATACATGTTTGATCATATCCCCCCCCCTTATGTATTATACATGGAGATCATATCCCCCCTTATGTATTATACATGGTGATCATATCCTCCCTTATGTATTATACATGGTGATCATATCCCCCTTATGTATTATACATGGTGATCATATCCCCCTTATGTATTATACATGGAGATCATATCCCCCTTATATATTATACATGGTGATCATATCCCCCCTTATGTATTATACATGGAGATCATATCCCCCCTTATGTATTATACATGGAGATCATATCCCCCCTTATGTATTATACATGGTGATGATAACCCCCCTTATGTATTATACATGGAGATCATATCCCCTCTTATGTATTATACATGGTGATCATATCCCCCCTTATGTATTATACATGGTGATCATATCCCCCTTATGTATTATACATGGAGATCATATCCCCCCTTATGTATTATACATGGAGATCATATCCCCCCTTATGTATTATACATAGAGATCATATCCCCCCTTATGTATTATACATGGAGATCATATCCCCCTTATGTATTATACATGGAGATCATATTCCCCCCTTATGTATTATACATGGAGATCATATCCCCCTTATGTATTATACATGGAGATCATATCCCCCCTTATGTATTATACATGGAGATCATATCCCCCCTTATGTATTATACATGGAGATCATATCCCCCTTATGTATTATACATGGTGATCATATCCCCCTTATGTATTATACATGGAGATCACATCCCCCCTTATGTATTATACATGGTGATCATATCCCCCTTAAGTATTATACATGGTGATCATATCCCCCCTTATGTATTATACATGGTGATCATATCCCCCCTTATGTATTCTACATGGAGATCATATCCCCCTTATGTATTCTACATGGTGATCATATCCCCCTTATGTATTATACATGGAGATCATATCCCCTCTTATGTATTATACATGGAGATCATATCCCCCCTTATGTATTATACATGGTGATCATATCCCCCTTATGTATTATACATGGTGATCATATCCCCCCTTATGTATTATACATGGTGATGATAACCCCCCTTATGTATTATACATGGAGATCATATCCCCTCTTATGTATTATACATGGAGATCATATCCCCCCTTATGTATTATACATGGTGATCATATCCCCCCTTATGTATTATACATGGAGATCATATCCCCCCTTATGTATTATACATGGTGATCATATCCCCCCCTTATGTATTATACATGGAGATCATATCCACCCTTATGTATTATACGTGGAGATCATATCCCCCCTTAATCTCCTCCTCTCAAGAGAGAATAAATTCAGTTCCTCTAATATTTCCTCATAGCTGAGCTCCTCCATGCCTCCTATCAGTTTGGTTGCTCTTCTCTGTACTTTCTCCAGTTCCTTAATGTTCTTTTTGTGAATTGTTGCCCAAAACTGAACTGCATATTCCAGATGAGGTCTTACTAATGATTTGTATCGGGGGAAATGATATCTCTCTCTCTGGAGTCTATACCTCTCCTAATACAAGAGAGGATTTTTACTCTATCTTTATTGGTATAAAAAAGTAGATGTGTACTCACAAAGGACATGAAATAGATGGCATGTCAATCAGACAATACATGGAAGTGACCTGGAAAAGTTCTTTTTTGGGAATAGATGATCCAAAAATGGCTGACGCGTTTCGAGGGGTGAGTGGCTCTGGGTGATTGAGGGGTGATTTGTGTATTCCCAAAGGACATTTATTTCATGTCCTGTGTGAGTACACATCTACTTTTTATTCCAATTAAGTGAATATTGAGGCAGGTGCACCCTCTGTTTTTTATGTTTTTATAGTTGCTCATGCATATGTGCCTGTGCACAATGCTAATGCTCCCGTGCATGCGCACGTGCCCGTAGAGGTAACCGCAGGGTCCTAATGCCGTGCACGTTCCATGGACTGTTCTGCATGCATACACATTCCTTTGAGCATGAGCATTCGTTTGAGCATGGCCTTGAGCATGACTTTCCTGTATTGTTTCAGAGCACAAATTGTTGCCTACCTGCAACAGGCGCATGTCAAGCAAGCATTTATAGTTACCATTGTTTGGAAAGTCATCAGTTTTCATGTGTAGATAATCCCTCATCCACTGAACACACGCCATGTCTTTATAATGGAATTGTTTTCTGACGCTGTTCGGTCTACTGTTCCATTCATTGGCCAACTCCACTGCCTCATCCACAGACGCCATAAACCTCCTCTTCTCATTGTCCAAAAACATAAAATCTCTACCATGAGCGCCAAACTCTTCTTCCCCACCTGTAGAATTATCTTCATAAATCCAGCAATCGAATTTCACTTGATAGACATACAGATCTGTATAATCTGAAGAAGATAAATAATTAATTTCTCCATTAACAGAAAAGTATACAAGATAAGTAACAGAGGTGCATACAAGTAATAGGCTCCATGTACACAAGCAGCTTCTAAACTTGAGTTTTGGAGCTTTTCGCATTTTTTTGCTAAAGCTCCTAAACTCAACTCTATAAAAGTCTATGGGTCCATGTACACACAGGCTTTTAGCAGAGTTTAGGAGCTGCCGCATTTAGGTGAAGTTAAACCTCCCTCTACTGAACGCAGAAGAATCGCTTTCAGGATAGGAATGTTTTGCCTGCCGACCGCGTGAAAACGCAAAACACGGCAAAATCGGTACCACATTTTGGCATTTTCCTGCGGCTGGCGGTCAGGGTAGGCTCGTGTTCATGGAGCCTTACTTTTTTTTTTAAAAGGTAACTTTACTTTTGTGGGAAAAAAGTTTGAAAATAAAAAATTAATAAAAAAAAAAAAAACACAAGTCATATTCTAATTGAATGTTATTAAAATTGCCTTTCCTTTTCAAATCTGCAACATTGTAATCCTCTGTAAAATGCAATGAATTATGGCTACCTGGAGGCATTCTGTACAAAGATGGTGTACAGAACGCCCCCCAGAAATGTAATTTCCTGCTTGTGCAATTGGCTCAATGATTTTACCAGAAGTCTGCACTAAGTCAGGTTTTTGGCATCCTCTACAACAAAAAATGTCATTTTTGGTGAGATACTCTCAAAGGGAAATCACATTTGCAATGATGCAGACCCTGCCATTTTCCTCATTAGAGACCTGCAGGTGCAGCTGATTGAAAATGATAAAACTGCTCGCATACAGATTCACTCAGCACATGGACACAAACAGTTATATTTTCAGAACAAAAAAAGGTAGGAATCTGCAACAAAGCTTGTTAAAATCCTTGAAATGTACATAGCTCATCCAGAGGGGAAAGTTTTATTGGCAGCAAAAGTGGAGCTACTGTTTAAAGAAGCTATTAGAGGAGTGTCGGTGACGGGAGGAAAGGAGCGAATGCCTGATTAGACATTGCTGGATTGATAGCCAGGGCCGGTACTGAAAAGGTAATGAACAACCAGGGGCGGACTGACCATTTGGAAACTCGGGCACTGCCCGAGGGCCCAGGGTCAGTAGGGGGCCCCATGAGATACCCCTGGTACCTTTTTCATAGGCTTTTTTGAGTTTGGTCAAGGACACAGGGGCCCCATGATCCCCTATTGCCCGGGGGCCCCATGAGTTGTCAGTCCGCTCCTGTGAACAACACAGCAGTCATTCCACAGTTACTGTAGCATGATCTGTGCTTGATTAGCTGTGGTGGAGGTCAGGGGAGACATTGGAGTCTAAAAGACCTAATAGCTCTATGAAGAGGACCTCTCATCTGCCCAATGCTGTAACATAGATGGCTTGTTAGCCCCCTTGTGAAAGCAATAAAGTTTAATGACAAAAATAATAAAGTAGTAAAAAAATAAATTGTAATTAAAAACATAACAAACAAAAGAAAAAAAAAATTAAAAAACACCCCACCCAACCCTGTACACATCCCAATGCACATGTGCAGCGTAGGGCACGCACATGCACATAAACATAAATTGCACCACATTGGTGTGAGAGCAATAATTCTAGGGCTATAATTTATGGTTAAGGTTAAACTGATAGCCTGTAAAGGCTTTAATAATAAGAATTTGGGGTACCATAGTTTTACGCAATTTCACAGTCATGCACAATTCAAGGGCTTGACCTATTTGGTATCTATTTACTCAACACAACCCCATTTTTTATATTATACTAAAAATCAGGTATTGTATTGTTTTTGTTTGCATTAAAATTCATTATACTGCATTTTTTCCTGAAAATATGCATTTGATAAACAGTTGCACAAATATCATGAAAATAGAAAAATGCAACTACTACCATTGTATTCTCCAGAGCCGCTGCTTTCAGAAAATATATAAATAATAGTATGAAGGTTTAAAGTGGTTCTAAAGGCTCAGGGTTATTTTACTGTCGTGCATTCTATGGATGAAGGTAAAAAAAATCTTCTCTGTGCAGCATCCCCGCCAGCCCCCATTGCCTAAGCCTCATCTGATCCAGCGGTGTGCACTGGAGTCTCAGCTATCCTGGGACTCCCTCTCCTCATTGGCTGAGACAGAAGCTGGAGCCACTAGCTCCCACTGCTGTCAATCACAGCCAGTGAGCCAATGAGAAGAAAAAGGAGGCGGGCTGAGTTAGGACACACGGAGCAGTGGGCGCCCCCATAGCAAGCTGCTTTCTGTGGGGGCACCCAACAGGAGGGAGGAGCCAGGAGCACCAGCGAGTGACCTGAGAAGAGGAGGATCCAGGCTGCTCTGTGCAAAACCACTGCACGCAGCAGGTAAGTATAGACATGTTAGTTATTTAAAAAAAAAAAAAAAGCCTTTAGAATCACTTTAAAGGTAATTTCCAGCAAAAAATGCAGATTTTAGCATGTGTGCAAAAAATATTTAAAAAATGCCATGGCAGACAAGTGGTTAAACCTGCACAAGGGACACTGTTGTACAATGTACTTCAGCAAAGGTAAAAAAAAAAAAAAAAAAAAAGAAAAAAGTGATTGCATAGCTTTTAAATGTCAGCTCCTTCCCCTTCTGTTAGTATGGGGACAGGAAATTCCAGGTGATGTCATTGTCGACATATAGTCTACAAACAGAGATTATGAATCTCCCCAGCTGGGACGCAGACAGCAATGAAAATCTGACAGAAGGACTAACCCCTCCACACTGCACCCAAAATTAAAAAAAAAAAAAAAAGTGTTGCCATTTCATGCACTACTTGGCGATATTGTGGGCGCACACAATTTTAAGATATGGAATGTTTGGTGTCTATTGACTCAATGCAAGCTCATCTTTTATATCTTAACCAAAAATGAGTATTCGGTTGTGTGTTTTGGCACTAAAGTTTATTTTAATATATTTTTCCTTAAATTAGCATTAATAAACAGCTGTGTAAATATCATGTGACATAAAAATGTGAAACTATCACTTTTTATTCTACAGGGCCTCTGCTTTCAGGAAATACATAATATTCTGGGGGTTTAAGCCATTTTATTGCAAATATTTGAGATTTTTTTTTACATGTATGTGAAAAAAAAAAATGCTCTGGAGCCAAACAGGTTACCCACTTGTCCTCCAGAGGATTTACCCCCTTCCTGACCAGGCCATTTTTTGCAATCCGATGCTGCGTTACTTTAACTGACAATTGTGAGGTCATGCAATGCTGCACCCAAATAAAATTTATGTCCTTTCTTCCCACAAATAGAGCTTTCTTTCGGTGGTATTTGATGATCGCTGCATTTTTTTTTTACGCTATAGACAAAAAAAGACCGACAATTTTGAAAAAAATAAACAATATTTTTGACTTTTTGCTATCAAACATGTCCAGTACAAAAAATTTAAAAATCTAATTTCATCATAAATTTAGGCCAAAATGTATTCTGCTCCATGTCTTTGCAAAAAAAAATACCAATACATGTAAATTAATTGGTTTACGTGACAGTTATAGCGTCCACAAATGGCAGTATATATACTGCAATTTTTTTTCCATTTTTCTTTATACTAGTAATGGCGGCAATCAGCGACTTGTAGGGGGACTGTGGGACTGTGGTGGGCAGTCTGACACTGGAGGGGAACTGACTAAGTGACACTGATATCCCCAGTGACACCAATACAGTGATCAGTGCTAATAAAAAGCACTGACACTATGCTAATGGCACTGAGCAGGAAGGGGTTAACATCTGGGGCGATCAAAGGGTTAACTGTGTGCTGTGTGTGTGTTTTACTATGCAAGCACGCTGCTTTGTATAGCTCAGCTATGCAGAGCCATACAAAGCAGCATGCTGGTGCTGACAGGGGAGAGATCTGTATTGTTTACATACAGACCTCTCCCCTGTCAGTGTTCCTCGGCGATCGCCGGGTGATTGACAGCTGTAGCCACCAATGGCGGCGCAGGTAGGGCAACGTGCGCACACGCACTCCCTACCCGGAAATACAAAAGCACGTATATATATACATGATTTCGCGCAGCCTTGCCACCCTGTAGCAGTAGTTCTGCTATAGGGAGGTCAGGAAGCGGTTTTTTAATAGAGTCATCAGTTGTCGTTTGCCTTGTCTTTGCAATTTTCTGTGTTTTGAATCCTTCAGAGATCTGAGTTTATTCATGTATTATATGTTATGACAATGTTGTAGTGTGAACACTGCCTAAGTGCTCTTAGGGAAGACCTCAAATTCATCAGCGGGTGAAACTGCAGCAAATTTTTCAAAGCAAAAACTTCAGGCTCCAGTCACTCTAGGGCATTACAAATCGCAAGTGGAATCACCACGATTCTGCTAGTGATTTTTAAAATGCGCTGTGAAAATGTGAAAACGTGCATTCGCGTGCTCAGGTGCCATTCACTTCAATGACACCTGAAAACACAGGGCTGCAATTTTTGCCACAATCTTGGCATATTTTCCCACACAACAAATGTGCCGCAATAGCACAAACAAAATCCCTTGGACGCGCAACACTTTGTCCATAACCACTTTGTCAGGGGGGAAAATCCGCCCCATTGAAGTGAATGGCACCTGAACACGTGAATGCGTGTTTTTCGCATTTTCACAGGGCGTTTTCAAATTGCAGGCAGAATCGCGGCGATTCCGCCCACAATTTGAAACAAACTAGCGTGAATGGAGTCTTAATGTCCTCCTGGATAGAAAACATTCAATTGGGACACTAAAGCTGGCTACACACCAGTAAACTTTCCAACGAACATTCTTACAAAAAGTCGTACAAAAGTTTTCAGTACATTTGATGACTTGATGAATGTTTAAAAGTGGTTCAAAATTTCATTGCTTTTAACATTTGATTTTGGAATAAATGGACTTTACTGAATGAAAACCATATATACTGCTCAATTACACTTGCTTTGACTTTCAAACACATTAATGCACCTACCATTTCAACATGCTTTTTTTATGTGCTTTTGATGCTTCTGTGATGCTTCACTGACACTTTGGTGATGCTTTTTTGAAGCTTTAATGAAGTTTGGCAAATACCCTGTGTGTGTTGATTTTTCATTTGTTTCAAAGGAGTCCAATAGAATCCCAGCTCATTAGTACCTCTGTTCAGCAGATCCCCAGCTCATTTGTACCCTCATTCAGCAGATACCCAGCTTGTTAGAGCCCTCATTCAGCGGATCCCCTACTCAGTAGTAACTCAGCTCTGCTGATGCCCCATTCAGTAGTACCCCCAGCTTTGCTGATCCCCCGCTTAGTAGTAACCCTCAGCTCTGCTGATCCCCTGCTCATTAGTAACCCCCAGCTCTGCTGATGCCCCATCCAGTAGTACCTCCATCTTTGCTGATCCTCGCTCAGTAGTACCCCCAGTTTTGCTGATCCCCCACTCAGTAGTAACCCCCAGCTCTGCTGATGCCCCATTCAGTAGTACCCCCATCTTTGCTGATCCCCACTCAGTAGTACCCCCAGTTTTGCTGATCCCCACGCTCAGTAGTAACCCCCAGCTCTGCTGATGCCTCGCTCATTAGTAACCCCCAGCTCTGCTAATGCCCCATTCAGTAGTACCCCATCTTTGCTGATCCCCACTCAGTAGTACCCCCAGTTTTGCTGATCCCACGCTCAGTAGTAACCCCCAGCTCTGCTGATCCCCTGCTCATTAGTAACCCCCAGCTCTGCTGATGCCCCATTCAGTAGTACCTCCATCTTTGCTGATCCTCGCTCAGTAGTACCCCCAGTTTTGCTGATCCCCCGCTCAGTAGTAACCCCCAGCTCTGCTGATCCCCTGCTCAGTAGTAACCCCCAGCTCTACTGATGCCTCATTCAGTAGTACCCCCATCTTTGCTGATCCCCACTCAGTAGTACCCCCAGTTTTGTTGATCCCCACGCTCAGTAGTAACCCCCAGCTCTGCTGATCCCCCGCTCAGTAGCAATCCCCAACTCTGCTGATGCCTCGCTCAGTAGTAACCCCAGCTCTGCTGATCCACTGGTTTGCTGATCCTTCTCTCTCTCTCTATGCTCCTTCTCCTATATTGCTGCTACGCTGCACACCTCTTGTGACATTGCTAGTTTCTCCCTGCTCCAGTCTGCCAGCTCTGCTGATCTTCCATCACTCAGTTCTATCTCTCTGGTCCCCGCTCATCTTCCACTATAGAGATTCCATATTGCATACCACATGTGCTGTCTGTAAATTGCTCTGCTTCAGTCCAGACCCCACTCACTCACTTACTGCTGCTCCATGCTGGACACCAGATGTGGCATCTGCACCAGACACTCCCAAAATATATACTCATGAACCAGGAGTGACTACTGATGACACCTTTCAGGTTAACTTTTTGGTTTCCCAGTGCATCCTGGGATATCTCATGCCTACAACACCTACAAAACAAAGCAAAGCTAACTCTGAATAAAAGCCCCTCAAAAGCTGAAGGTGCTGTTAGTTGTGGACTACTTGGAGGCTTTGGAGACAATTTGAAGCACCAAGAAAGCGACATGGGATATAATTTTTGAAGCAAAGCAAACGCAACATATGATCACGACCTTAGCTTACCATGTTATTTAGTGACAGGTGCTTTGATTGGCATTCAAAGCGCTTTAAAAGAAGCGTGACCAATTTCACATTCTGAAGCAAGTGTAAACGATTCATTAGAAATTAATTTGTTAAAAAAAAATTTCCATTTCCAGTCACTGTGGTTGAAAACTAATGATTAGAAAATTGATTGAATGTTTAAAATGAAAGTCTATGAATGAGATTATACCAGTGTATAGCCACTAACACTGACTATACATTCTGGTCATCTTCTGTGCCAAAAGTGGCAAATGTGTTAGTGTTAGCTCAAAAAAAAACAGGGACGTTGGTGACTTTTTTTTTGCTTACTTTGCAATGGGCTCAGGCGCTGTATTGTATACTGATGCCTGCGTTCATAGTGCTTTGCAATTTCCTCCAGAGCTTCCCAGTGTTCAGGATCAACATTCTCCAGCCAGCCAACGAGGCGTTGCAGTTTTCGGTCGCTGCTGAGGTATTTTAAAATTGGAATATCATCCAGAGAGGCAGTAATCTGGGTGTGCGGTGGGGTTGATTCTTTTGGGGACCAGGTAGTTGAAAAGCGGTAGTTCAGTCTATGACTGTCTGTGGGAAAGATAAAGAAACAAGAGCAGATTATTGAAAGTGTAGTACAGAAAGTACAGCACTAGAAGGTCATCAGCATCAAGGTAATACAGAGAGTCAGGAACCACAGAGAACAAAAACATCCCCAAAGGGTTATTATGTAACATTGGTTGTCTGTTCATAGAGCCTAGTGCTCACCATTGACCATAACTGTACCTCTAATGGGGTCAAAATGGGAAACATGGGGCATCACAACTTTCCTCAGGACATCTTATTGTGAAAAAAAAAATTAAAGGCCATGAAAGTATCTAGCCTAATTGGTCCTTAGAAGAAAAACCTGTCCCCCGCCAGCATACTCTAGAAAAAGAACCTTGCCCTCTGTGAGAAAGCAAAGGTCTTTCTGCAGAGATCCCACACGCCCTCTGCTGTGTCAGAGCTAGAGCTCTTCATTAGCCAGAAGTGTGAACATTTCTGATTGGAGAGCTCTAGCTCGTACTTACACCACCACAGGCCAGGTGGACAACTTCCCCCAATTTCCTTCTGGTACTCTCCAGTGAGCTTCTTGAGATCTAAATGATCTCCAGGACTGTGCTTTGTGAATTGGCCCTCCAGATGAAACTTCAACTGGAACCTTGATGTCTTCTAAACAGGACCTCCAGAAATCCTGCACCAGAGGCAGAGGGCCTTCACATGAGTCTTCTCCAACAGGACTGGGTCAGGAACTTTGCTACTCCTGTCTTGGGCCTTAAACTATTTATGGGCTCTCCCACTACCTACTGGGCACACCTTCCCAGGCATTGGCTGGAGTCCCATAAACATTCAGGCTGATTACTCTGTGATTCTTCCCACTGTAATTCTAGAAGCAAAGCAACAGCCTGTGAGCCTCTGAGCAGGCCTGAATAATCACAGTGTAATAGACTCCCTCAAGAGTTGGTTCTGGCCAGCTCAGTGGATTGCTTTAAAAAAGGCCTGGATTCTTTCTTGCATACACAATATAACTGGATCAGGGACGGACTGACCATTCGAGCACTCGGCACTGCCCAAGGGCCCGGGGTCAGTAGGGGGCCCCATGAAATGCCCCTGGTACCTTTTTTATAGGCTTTTTTTGGGTGTGCTTTGAGTGTGGGCAAGGACACAGGGGCCCCATGATCCCCTATTCCCCGGGGGCCCCATGAGTTGTCAGTCCGCCCCTGAACTGGATACTAACATTTATAGGTAAAGTTGATCCAGGGAATATCCAATTGCCTCTCGGGGGATCAAGAATGAATTTTTCCCCTGCAGGAGCAAATTGGATCATGCTTTGCTGGTTTTTTTGCCTTCCTCTGGATCAACTGTGGGTGTAGGATTATAAGTTTTTTATTTTTTTTATGGTTGAATTGGATGGACTTTTGTCTTTTTTTCAGCCAGACTAACTATGTAACTATGTAATCACTGATTACAGAGGAGCCGACTAAATTTACCAAGAATCCATACTACTCTAGCACAGTGCTACAACAGCTGATTTAGATTAGAAATTGAGTCGGGCTTTGAAAACAAATCATAGCGCCAACCCTCCCATTAACTTGGTTGTGTTAGTTATGAAACCTATTTCCCAAAATTCATACGTTTGGGAAATACTTTGGACACAAAGCCAGTAAACCAGTGCCAATAAAACATTAATGCAAAGCTGCATCAGCATTTACAAGAGTATCATCATGTACAGCCATTCACATGAAATGGCAGGCTATATGAGGCACCTGAGGCTCCTGGGTGCAGGAAAGGTACCAGGAAATGTATGCTAGGGATATAAAATGTATATCTCTGCATGAACCCCAATACTAACCTCCCCTGTAACACTATCACACTAATCCCACTGCAATCCTAATACAATTTCTCACATTAACCCTTCCTAGTGGAATCTGAAATCCTTTGTCTATATATTTCATTGCCAGGATACCCTTCACCAAAGACCACCAATTCATACCTCAGATACTGGTACCAGGATGATGGTCATATGTAAGGGATATATGCCCATTGAGTATTATAGCAATTGTTATTTTATTTTTGGTTGGAGCTCTGCTTTAACTTTAAAGGAAACTTTCCATTCTGTATGCATTTTTGATTGTACATACAACAGAATAGTTTTTTCCTTTTCGTCAAAGTTTTTTGCATCTTTAAGCTTTGTTCTGTTTCTTCCTGAAAATTCCAGTTCATTTCTCTCACCTGCACACCTCCTAATGGCCCAGGGCAATTTTGACTTTTCCACTGTAGCTCTGTTTATTTGGCAATAGCTTTGTCTTTTAAAGTGGTTGTAAAGGTAAAATCTTAATGTATTCTATTCTATTATCTTAATGTATTCAATGCATTAGGGTTGAAAAACCTTCAGCATGTGGCCCCAGCTCCCCTTTATACGTAACTAGACCATGATCTCAATCAAGTGATGTGCACAAGAGCAGGGCTTTTGGCTCTTTCCCTTCTTAGTGGCTCAGAGACAGCAATGGAAGCCATTGTTTCCTGCTGCTTGTCAGTCACAGCCCAAAGAGGAGGGAGCGAGGGGGATGTGGCTGAGTGGTCTCTGATGGACACACAAAGCCAGCTCAGGAGCATACATGCGTGAGTGTCCCCATAGTAAGCGGCTTGCTGTGGGGGGCACTCGGTAGGTGGAGCAAGGGTCCATGAGTACCAGCAGGGGACCTGAGAAGAGGAAGATCAGGGTTTCTCTGTGCAAAACTATTACACAGAGCAATGTGAGTTACATAGTTAGTCTGGCTGAAAAAAGACAAAAGTTCATCCAGTTCAACCATTAAAAAAAAAAATAAAAGTTATAATCCTATACCCACAGTTGAACAGGAGGAAGGCAAAAAAAACCCAGCAAAGCATGACCCAATTTGCTCCCATCATACCCCCCCCCTTATGTATTATACATGGAGATCATATCCCCCCCTTATGTATTATACATGGAGATCATATCCCCCCTTATGTATATACATGGTGATCATATCCTCCCCCCTTATGTATTATACATGGAGATCATATCCCCCCTTATGTATTATACATGGAGATCATATCCCCCCCTTATGTATTATACATGGAGATCATATCCCCCCTTATGTATTATACATGGAGATCATATCCCCCCTTATGTATTATACATGGAGATCATATCCCCCCTTATGTATTATACATGGAGATCATATCCCCCCTTATGTATTATACATGGAGATCATATCCCCCCTTATGTATTATACATGGAGATCATATCCCCCCTTATGTATTATACATGGAGATCATATCCCCCCTTATGTATTATACATGGAGATCATATCCCCCCTTATGTATTATACATGGAGATCATATCCCCCCTTATGTATTATACATGGAGATCATATCCCCCCTTATGTATTATACATGGAGATCATATCCCCCCTTATGTATTATACATGGAGATCATATCCCCCCTTATGTATTATACATGGAGATCATATCCCCCCTTATGTATTATACATGGAGATCATATCCCCCCCCCTTTATGTATTATACATGGAGATCATATCCCCCCTTATGTATTATACATGGAGATCATATCCCCCCTTATGTATTATACATGGAGATCATATCCCCCCTTATGTATTATACATGGAGATCATATCCCCCCCTTATGTATTATACATGGAGATCATATCCCCCCTTATGTATTATACATGGAGATCATATCCCCCCTTATGTATTATACATGGAGATCATATCCCCCCTTATGTATTATACATGGAGATCATATCCCCCCCTTATGTATTATACATGGAGATCATATCCCCCCTTATATGTATTATACATGGAGATCATATCCCCCCTTATGTATTATACATGGAGATCATATCCCCCCTTATGTATTATACATGGAGATATCCCCCCTATGTATTATACCCCCCCCCTTATGTATTATACATGGAGATCATATCCCCCCCTATGTATTATACATACATGGATATCATATCCCCCCCTTATGTATTATACATGGAGATCATATCCCCCCCCCCTTATGTATTATACATGGAGATCATATCCCCCCTTATGTATTATGGAGATCATATCCCCCCTTATTTATACATGGAGATCATATCCCCCCCTTATGTATTATACATGGAGATCATATCCCCCCTTATGTATTATACATGGAGATCATATCCCCCCCTTATGTATTATACATGGAGATCATATCCCCCCTTATGTATTATACATGGAGATCATATCCCCCCTTATGTATTATACATGGAGATCATATCCCCCCTTATGTATTATACATGGAGATCATATCCCCCCCCCTTATGTATTATACATGGAGATCATATCCCCCCTTATGTATTATACATGGAGATCATATCCCCCCCCTTATGTATTATACATGGAGATCATATCCCCCCCCTTATGTATTATACATGGAGATCATATCCCCCCTTATGTATTATACATGGAGATCATATCCCCCCCCTTATGTATTATACATGGAGATCATATCCCCCCCCTTATGTATTATACATGGAGATCATATCCCCCCTTATGTATTATACATGGAGATCATATCCCCCCTTATGTATTATACATGGATATTATACATGGATCATATCCCCCCTTATGTATTATACATGGAGATCATATCCCCCCTTATGTATTATACATGGAGATCATATCCCCCCTTATGTATTATACATGGAGATCATATCCCCCCTTATGTATTATACATGGAGATCATATCCCCCTTATATGTATTATACACATGGAGATCATATCCCCCCCTTATGTATTATACATGGAGATCATATCCCC